CCCCCCCAGCCCGCAACTGCCCTCCCTTCTCCTTCCCTCTCGCCCCTTCTCATCCGAAGGGCGTGCCTAACTCCCCCCTCCGGAGGGGGCTCTACCACTTCTCAAGGTGTTTCCGTGCCCTCGCGTTCACGCATGTCCGCTTCGCCGCCACCTCCGCATACCTCCCTTGTCCAGTGTTTGCGACCCGATGAACGTCAGGCTCCGGGTATTTTCCCGCGCACAGCGGCGACTAGGCTTGACGCACTGTCTCCCTGTCGCCTCCCTTCCGCGGCTGCTGTTCTTGCTGCTTGCCGCGGCCACGGTCCTGTTGAGCCCCCTGGCAGCCGGTACCAATGTTCCACCGAGCTCCAGCTCGAGTCCCGACTATGCGGAGCTCCTGGCCACGCGCAATGCCCCTCTTCAGTGCGGCTTCGATCCGCTAGATGTTAACTCCCCGATTGACAGCGCGGCGGTTGTCACCTGCGCTAAGCAGCTTACCAGTCCGGGTACGCCTTTTGGAGGGTCACCACCCCCTCCTGCTCCCCCCCCTCCCCCCCCCCTTCCCCCCCCGGCTGGCCCCCCCCCCTTTTCGTTTTCCGTCCCCCCCCTCGGTTCCCCTCCCCCCCCCCCTCCCCCCCCCGCCGGGCGTCTGGCCGGCGCGGGCGAGCGGCCCCCCCCCGCCCTGCACGCCCCTGCTGCTCGTGCCTCCGCCCCCGCGCGCCGTTAGCCGCTCGCACCGCCCTGCTCCCCCCCCTCCCCCCCCCCCCCCCCCCCCCCCCGCCCCCCCCCCCCCCCCCCCCGCCCCCCGCCCTTCTCTCCCAAGGGTGCTGGTCTAACGCGGCGCATTCCGTCGTCTCCTTCGGGCTGAACACCATGCTGCCGCGGCGCAGCCCACCGCCTGGCCGTCGCCATTGCCCTGGTTGAGCGCGCGGATGCCTCGTCTTTCCCCTTTGGCAAGTCCTGGCGCCGGCTGATGGCCGGATCCCAGAGCCTTCTGGAGACGGTTGTCGCGGCGCCCGATGTGCCGAGCGCCACTGGCGCCGATGCTCGCTTCCTCCTCGCTGAAGGGCACCTCGTGCGTGCCCTCCTCGCGCCCTCTTCCCCTCGCCACCTCAGTTTCTCTCTCCCTCCCCCCCCCTCTCTCTCTCTCCATCGGCCTTGTACTTCGTGCCTTGCCCGGTCGACGTGCCATCCCCTCCGATGCTTCTCCCTCCACTGACATCGGTGTGCTTCGACTCGCCTGGCCATGCAGTTCGGCTGGTTCGAGCCACTGAGTGCCGCCAAGGCAGCCGACCTGCTCGAGGAGGCGGCCGCGCTGGCACCTGACCTCCCCGGACCGCCGCTGCTGCTTGGCTTGCTGCATGGTCTCGGCTGGGGAGCCCCCTCCAATGGGACATATGCCATGGTGTCCTCGGTGGAGGAGGTCTCGGGCCGGCCATCGGCCGCCGGCCACCATCGGTCATGGGAGTATCTGATGCGTGCGGCTGATGTGGCACCCGACTTCCTGTCTTCCTCGCAGTCGACCGGCATCGAGGCCGATCGCGCCGCGGCCCGGCAGACCCTCCAGCAGCTGTCCCACATGGCGGAGGCCTCTCTGGGCACCACGCCAGCCGGGGCTCGACTGCCGGCCGCCCTGTCTCGGACATCGGTCGATGCGCGAATCCTGGCTCTCTCGGCTCTGGGAGACCGGTGGTGGATCGGACGCGCCGATGCCGCCAAGCACACCCCCATCGCCGCCTCCCCTCCCGGGGAAACCTCTCCCCCCCGGGAGGCGGAGCATCCCCTCCTCAATGGTACCGACCCCGGGGATCAGCCCCGCGATGAGCCTCTCTCCCCGCGAGCCGATCACTTCAGCGGCGGCTTCAACTGCCGGAATGCGGCCATCTTCTACCGCAAGGCCATCCTTCTTGGTGCGCCGGTTCTTTTCCGAGATTCTTCCTCTCCTGCAGCGATCCCCCTCTCCCCCCCTCTCTCTTTCATCTTTCTTTCTCCCCGATGCGCTCGTCCATTTCTCACCTGCCCAATGCAACATCAGCCGAGGCATCTGGCTACCTCCCGGGCGTGGGCCTGCCTCCCTTCCCAGGCGAGCGCCTGGATCTTGCGGACCCTGCCGTGAAACACCGTCGCGAGGTGTTCCGTATGTGCCCTCCCCCCGCCCTCCCCTCTTTCCCTCCCTCCCACCCTGTTATGTGGATCCATCAGTACACTGCCTTCCCTCCCAGCCCTAATCCACTCGTTTCGCCCGTTCTCCAGGCAACTCGATCGCCCACATTGAGCCGGACGATTTCGACCCCCCAGGTGCGGTGGACCTGCTTCTGGGCGACCTTGCCCGGTGGGGACTGCATGGGAATCGCCGTGATCCAGCCGACGCCGCGCGTGGCTTCTATCAGGAAGCTCGCCAAGTCGGTCATCCAGGGTCGCTTGGTATGTATACGCACGCCCTGGCCTCAAGTCCCTCCCTGCCGCCTGCTCTCCCTGCTCTCTCTCTCTCTCTCTCTCTCCCCCTCTCTGCTCTGCTCTCCCAATAGGGGCACGACGATGCTAACACCAGCCTGACATCCAGGCCGACTGGCCGAGCTGGATTTGCATGATCTGCTGAACGTCTCGCCCTGGGCACCCATCTTCCCGGATCCGGTGGACCAGAAGCACCCCGCCAGCGGTATGACGACTCCTCTCGGACAGCCATCCACCCGCGCCAATGACCCGATGGTCCAGCCCCTGGCCGGCTACCAGGCCGATCACTCGCCGGGAGCCGGGCAGCAGCAACTTGGCGACGCGGGGCCCGGCGGCCGGGCATCGCGCCCACTACGCACCTCCCTGGTGGAAACCTTCTCCGAGCGCCAGTCGCGCATTCTGCGTGGGCTGTCGTATGCCTCCTTTGGAGTGCGCTCTCGTGACTCGGTGTCCGCGCTGATCCTGGCGTCGTTGGCGTCGCAGGCGGCTCGGGTGGCGGCCGAGCAGCAGTCGCCGCACTCGCCCGGCCAGTCGCTGTCCCTGCGTGACCAATTCCTGCAACTGGCCGGAGCCAAGATCCTCTCGATGGACCTCCGGCCATGGGGAGCTCGCGTCGGCGGCACCAACGGCAGCCATGGCCACTCGATGGCCGACGACTTGCAGCATGTGGCCCGGTCACTCTACTGTGGTGTGGCTGGTGTGCCTCTCAACTTCACTCCCTCTTCGCGGCTCAACGCCGGTCCGGTGCTGCCGGATGACGGAGCTCAGGCCGACGGGTCGCTCTTCTCCTTCCTCGATGTACTGGGGACATTCTTCGGCGATGAGCCGCTCGAAGCCGACCGCATGTCGGGCTCCCCTCCCCCGGTGCCACCCGGCCATAGCTCCGCCGATGGGCCAGCTGCCGACCTCTGGGAAGAGTGGGAGTGGGCCGACATCGCCAGCCCCGAGGCCCTGGCGCGTTGTGGCTACTTCTACATCAGTGCGTCCCCTGGCTCTTTGCTTCGTCCCCCCTCCCCCCGTCCCTCTCCCGCTTTGCGTCTGTCTGTGGACCGTCATCCTTCTCTCTCTCTCTCCCTCCCTCTCTGCCTCGGCTTTGGCTGACTCTTCCTTCTCCCCGGGGCCGGGTTCCCGTCAGATGGCATTTCTGTTGCCCGAGATCTGCCACGCGGATTGCGAATGCTCCGGCGCGCGGCCGCCCCCTCCCTGGATGCCGAGCTGCTGATTGAGGATCGTCTCGACATGGCACCCGACATGACCGGGGCTCGGGCCAGCGGTCCGGGGTTGCGCGAGCCCTTCACCTCGGCCAAGATCGGGTTTGGCCGGGTGTCATTGCCGGTGATGGCGCACTCGCATCAGCAAGCCGTGCACGCGTCCCAGATGGGGACCGACGGGGCGGAGGCTCTGCTGGCTGAGCATGGCCTGACTGCCTCCCTGTCGAACATCCGCCCGGGAAATGTCTTCGCCACAGCCGAGCTGGCGCATCTCATCCTCGATGGCCAGCTGGATAGCCTCCTTTTGAGGGAACATCGTTCGGACAGTTCGGAGACCGCCTGTCCGGCGGCCGTCAATGTACGTATCTCTCTCCCTCTCCCTCTCTCCCTCTCTCTCTCTCTCTCTCTCTCTATTTCCTCCCTTCTTCGCCCACCTTCCGTCTGGTCTCCCCGCAGGATCATGGATATCAAGCCATGTCCTCCCATTTGCCCGGGTCGCTGACGCTTTCCTGGCGCTCTTGTTGTTTCCTCTGGCTTCAGTTGTGTTTCTGTGCCTCCGCGTCTCTCCCTCCCTGCTTTCCTCTCTCTCCGTCTCTCCGTCTCTCCGTCTCTCCCTATCTCTGTGTTTGCTGCGCTCCTTTTCGGTCTCCACGTGCAACAGCTGTATCGGCTTGCCATCAATCAGATTCTCAAGCACCTGGACACAACGCGCCCCTGGCCGGAGCGCGTGCATGAGGGCATCGCCCGAGGGTTCTTCGGGCCGGCGCACCGCATGCTGGCCGCCCTGTCGGAGGTCGGGGCCAGCCAGTCGGGCGCGGCACACGGCGCCGCGCATACCCTGGCTGCGCTGCGGTCTCAAGTCTCCATGGCCACCGAGCCCGGGTCCAAGACGGCTCCCCTGTTGCCGGCATCGCCGCTGGTCATCCCTCCGCTGGCCTTGTCCACCCCGGCCGCTGTGTATGGCCATGCACATCTGGCTGACTACTTCACTCGGGTGGCATGTGCCCGGGCCGGGGTGTCGGTGTTGGCATGCCCGTCGTCGCTGCTGCGATTGGGCCTCGGGCCGGCGGTTCGGGAGCGCGACCGTTTGCAGCAAGCCGCCGGCGGGGCCAATCCCCTGGCCGGTCCCCATGATCTGGGGGTTTTCTCGGCAGCCGACGATCGAGCCACCGCGGCCGAGTTGGCCTTCTGGCGCCGGGCCGCGCATGCTGGCTGCCCGATCGCGCGGAACACCCTGGCCGAGAGCCTGGTGGCGGCGGCCGATGCGCTGGCCCCGGCGCTGGCAGCCGCCCGCCAAGCAGACCTGACCTCGGGCGGCCCAGCCTCTGCCCACACCGAGGCCACGCATTTGGCCATCGCGCGCCGGAGCCTATGTGGCGCGAGCTTGGCCTCCCTCTTTGGAGCGGCCGGTATTGACCGGTACTCGCCGCTGGTCTTCAACCATCCGGCCATTGGGATGGGCATTGGCGGTCGGTCGGGGGGCGCCTTGTTCGATTCCGCCGGGGGTGCTGGCTCGGCCCAATCCGGCGGCATGCAGCTGGCCCTGTCGGCACGCGAGCTTGATGTGTTGGACTTTTGGCCGGCCCTGCCGTACAATGTGGCCGGGGATTACATCACCCCGGACCTGCTGGTGGGCAGTGGCATTCAGAACCACACTCGCACGCATTGGCTCGAGGGGGGGTTCTTCGATGGGCTGCCCGCGCGGGAGCCCGATCCCCCCATCGGCGATGGGGTCTCGCTGTTGCAGGGTGTCGACCAGCTGGCAGCTGGAGGGACCGGGCGCGGTGGCCCGTATGGCGGCTTCGCTCGCCCCAGCGGCGAGGCTCTCTTCACCCTGGCTCGGATGCATGCCACTGGCTGGTGCCGGGACATTGTCCCGGTGGCGGAGGGCACGCCGGTGGGACCGGTGCTCCCGAACACCGGTCCCAGCGGGCCCGAGGCCCCGGCCCCGCGAGTGCCACTGCCGATGCGCCTGGCACGCTGGCTGCCATGGCCGATGTCCGACCTGGTGGAACATCTTCTTGGATACCTCCTACGGGTGGTTGGACTGTGGCAGGGGTCGCCGACGCGGTCCCCGGACCGTGGCCCGGCCGCTGCCGGTCCCTACAATCCGGATATCGTGCAGCCGGACCTAGCCACGGCGTCCATCTTGCTGTCGCTGTCACGTCGCGCCGAGCCCGATTCCCACTTGGCCATTCTCCTGGCTCGGGTGTGGCTCTTCCTGCTGCGCACCTTGGCACATGTGGGTCTGATTGCGGAGCCCGCGGCCACGGGCGCCGGGGCCGGGCTCGGGACCATGCTCACCTGGAGTTGGTGGCCCAATCCACTGGCCCTGGCCACCGGGACGGTCCCCCTGCACCAGCGCATTGCCCTGCACAGCTCCCCTGCAGCGGTACTTCTCCAGCGATCCCGGCAGTTGCTGGTTTGGCTCTTTGGCATTGATTTGCCGGACCCGGAACTGCCGGAGGGCTTCCGTCCGCATGACCTCACCCTGAGCGGATTGCTCAGTATCCGCGCCCTGGCTCCATGGAGCCTGCCGCGCACCGGCTGGCGCCTTCTTCGCTGGCTGGTGGCCCCGGGGCTGGTGGATGAGCAGGCCGCCGCCGGGGCCGAGAAGTTCCTGGCTTCCTTGGTCGCCGGGCGCCGGTGGACCCTCTTCACCCCAAGCAGCAGCAGCAGCAGCAGCAGCAGCAGCAGCAGCAGCAGCAGCAGCCATGGTCCGGTGGCTGGCGGGAAGATCCCGGCCATCGACCCGGCTTCTGCCGCTGCCACCTCCGCGTGGACCTTCCAGCGCGTGGTGGCCCTGCTGTCCGATGATGCCTTCATCATTTCCCTCGGTCTGCTGGTGGTGGGATTGCTCTTCCTGCGGGAGTACCTCCGTCGGGACCTGCTGCATGGCCGACCCGAGGGGGGGTCCCCTGCCTCGGGGGACTCTCTCGCCGAGCGGCCGGCAGCCGGACCGGCCGCCGATGCCGCGCCTCGCCCCGACACGCGCGCCTTCCAAACCGACCGGTCTGGTGTTGTTTGGACCACCGACGCCGACTGGGGTGATGGAGATGGCGATGATGCATTGTAGGTGTGCCGCGTCTTCTTCTCCTGCTTCCCTCCAGCGTCCTCATCATGGAGCCTCTTTTCCACACACACACACACACACACACACACACACCCTGGCCGGCCGCGCTCCCCCCCCCCCCCCCCCCCCTCGCCTGATGCAAGGGCCATGCCTGGTCCCATCGGGCAGCCCCTTCTTCCCTTGCCTTTCTCTCCCCTTCCCCTTCCCCCCTCCCCCCTCTCTGTCCTTGATCAATGCGGCGACCACGCCTGTGCCGGGGCGGGAGGATGGCGCACCCCATTCCTCCCTCGCCTGCCCCCTCACCTCTTTCCCCCTCCGGCGCACGCGCGCAACATGTTAGATTTCCAATTTAGATAAATACACTGTTGCGCCTTCCTTCCTCCCCTCTGCCCCTCCCCTCCCCCCGGCCACGGGGCTAGATGTGCTCTTGCCTATGCTTCGGTGGTCTATTTTTCGGGATTTCCTTCAAGCCCCTCGTGCTCACGGTGTTTGCACACTCAAAGGGCATCTACAAGGAAATCCTCCTCACGAAGGGAGTCGCCCTCGGGAAGCAAGTCAGTCGGGCCAGCCAGCTCGGCCGGCGGGGCCAGCCACTTGCTCATGTAGGGCCCATCGAGCTCGTAGCCCAGGCGCCGGTAGTAGTGCCGGGTCCCGATGCCGGCAATGATGGCCAGCTTGCGGGCGCGGTGCTCATCGCGAGCGATGCGCTCCGCCTCCGCCAGCAGCATGGCTCCAAAACCGCGGTGTTGTTGAGGCGCACCGGCCGACACGGCCTCGTCCGGTGAAACGCCGGCATTGGAACGCCCAGCCCCGTGGTCGTGAACGGCCACAGCATCGCCGTACACATGGAGCTCTCGGACGATGGACACACCGCCCCAGGCGGCACCATGTTCGAGATCGTGCGCGGAACTGTAGCCGCCCTCCGGCAGGGTGAGCTCCGGGCCGGTTGTCGAGGGGCCACACTTGCGCAGGCGCAGGAGGCCAACCTGGATGTCGAGCGCGATTGCCGAGAGTTAGAGGAGGGGGGAGGGAGGGGGGGGGGGGGGCGGGGAAAGGCGAGGCCCAAAGGGCGAGGAGCATGGCATGCGGCGGGGTGAGGCACGGGCGTACCAGGACATCGCGCTCGGTCTCCTCGTACGAGAGGAAGGTCTCCCATCCGCCGTTGGCGGTGTAGTCACGCCGGATGAGCTCGCACACAGGCCGGGCCTCGGCACGGGCGGCGGCCTGGTCAAGGGCCGCCGCGCGGTCGGCCTCGCTCGGGATCGGAGCCTGGCCACGAATGCGGTTAACCGAGTCCCGGATGGTGGCAATGCCGATTTCACGGGTGCGCACATCGCGGCAGGCCAGGCCGAGCTCGCGCACTCGGGCCAGAGCCAACTCGCGGAGGTTGCCGTGCTCCACACCGGAGGACACCAGGGGCATGGGAATGTCACTTTCGACAGCGGGGCAAGGAGAAAGGAGGGAGGGGGGGGGGAGGGAGAACAGGGGAGGGGCACATTAGCACATGGGGATGGGGGGGGGGGGGGGGGGGGAGACCCTGGCAGCTTGAGGACGCACCGCTGAACACGGTATACACGGGTCCAAGGCGGGACGAGAGACAGAATCCGAGCGGTCAGGTCGACCAGCACATCGGGCGGGTAGTTCTTATAGCGCCCAGTGCGCCAGAGCTCATACAGCCCGGTGCCACGGATGACCAGCGTCGGGTAGAGCTTCAGACCATCCGGCCGGAAGGCAGGGTTGGAGAAGAACTCCTGCGGAAAGGGCGACGGCAGGAGCCATGGTGGTCAGCAATGCCGCCGCAGGATGGGCAAGACGACCGCACATGCGCGGGTGTGTGTGTGTGTGTGTGTGTGTGTGTGGGAGAGAGAGGAAGAGAGAGAGGAGGAAGAAGCGGGAGGGAAATGAAGCGGCCGACAAAGGGGGGCGACAAGGGAGCGCACCACAAACTGTTCGTAGTCGCGCTCCCAGCCGACGTTCGGCAGGTCGGGCATCATATGGGCCACCACCTTGAAGCCGGCATTCTTGGACATCTCGAAGGACTCGCACACGGCCTGGACCGTGTGGCCGCGATTGGTGTCCCGGGCCACGTCCTCGTAGACACTCTGGACGCCGATCTCCAGCCGGGTGCAGCCGTATGTCAGCATCTGGCCGAGGTGCGCGCCGAGGCAGTAGTCCGGCCGAGTCTCGATCGTCAAGCCGACGCACTTGGCCCCGCGGCTGTGCTCGGCCAGGGCCACGGCCTCTTGCACGGTGCTGGAAGACCGCCCGGTCAGGGCATCATGAAGGTCTCGAATGAAGGCATTCCGGTAGGCCAGCGGCAGGGACATGAAGGTGCCGCCCATGAGGACAAACTCCACCTTGTCGACATTGTGCCCGAGGCCGCGAAGTTGCGCCACGCGACCGGCCACCTGGGCCCCGGGATCGTAGCGTGCCCGGATGGCGCGCATGCTGGTCGGTTCGTAGCCGGTGTACGATTGGGTGCTGTACTCGAAGTCGGAGTCCGGGCCACCGGGGCAGTAGACGCAAATGTGCCCGGTGAGGGCGATGTGGGGGCAGCGGTGGGGCTTGCACATGACGGCCACGACGGCGACCTGCGGGCAGCGGGCCCGACAGGAGGAGGAGAGGGGGGGGGGCGCAGGGGAGGCAAAAGGGACAGCAAAAGGCGCCATGGCCGTGATGGAGCGGTGAGCATCAGTTGGTGGGGGCAGCAGCGCGTGCAAGGCGGCCCGGCAAAAGGGAGCACGCACGCCGGATGCCGAGCGGATGGGCTTCGCACGCAGGCGCGGTAGGAGGGCCGCCCGGTGCGCGGCCGGGATGGCCGCAATCAGGTCCACCAACTTCGGCTGCGAGGCGAGGCCCATGTCGCGGGAGACGCGAGACTTCAAGGCTACCGGTGGGAGATCCAGGCGGACAAGAGGTGAGCAAGAATCGGCAGGCTGCCCCGGGGAGAGAGAGAGAGAGAGAGAGGGAGAAAGGCATGTAGAGATGCGCGCAGTTGGGCGAACCATTGAGGTTGACATTCCGACCGGCCTCGACGGATGCGATCATCTCCCGGATGATGGTGTCACAGGCGGTGGCCAGTCGCTCGGAGGTGATTTGATCGGCGGCGGCATTGGCCCCGGCGGCGCCGGAGGCCGCGCGGGCGGCGCGCGCGGCCGCCCGGCGTCGCGAGCGCACCGACGCCGAGCCCGCATGCAGGGGCGCAACCGACGGCGCGGGGATGGCGTCGACCATGTCCGTTGGGCGAGACTAAGAGGGAGAGCCGGGAGGGGGGGGGGGGAAGAGAGAAAAGGCGGAAATAAATGGAGGAGGCGGGGAGGTGATGGGGAGCAGGGGGGGGGGGGGGCAATCTCTGGACAAAGCTGCGCGGCCCCTCCCACGCCAGTCCGCTCGCCGATGAGGGGGCGTCCCACCGAGCAGGCCGGGCCCCGCGGTGTGCGGCGGGCGTTCTGAAGATGGATCGTGGCTCGTGATATACCCTGCACGGGAGCGTCACGGGACCTGGCGTTCTACGGGGTTGACGAATTCCACCGTCGTCTGGTATTCTCCTTCCCGGCCCCTTTTCCGGGCCTCGGTGCGTGCATGAGTGTGCGTTTGAGTGTCTGCGGGTGGACCCCCTTCCGTGGGGGCGCAGGGGTGTGTGGGAGTGAGCCCCGCGTTGAGTGTTCCGCGGGGCGATCCCCCGGCAGGTTCCGCCAGGCTCGGACGGGGGAGAGGAGCTCTGCATCCTTGGCCGGGGCTGTGGGCGGGGGGAGGCTGATGATCGGCCCCCCCCCCCCCCCGCCCGCCCGCCGATGAAGAGTGTAGTTTGTTAGAGGATGTGAATGCGGGCCGAAACCCTGGCGCCCGATCCTAGCATCTAGGCCGCCCCGGCGAGAGGAATGGCGCGCCTGGTGAACCTCGATGCTGGCCGGCCGTATATTGGACTGGCACATTCATCACCGCGTCCGCCTCAGCGTGTGTGTGTGCGCGCGCCGGGAAGAGGGGTGCAGCACGACTTGGGACGCCGGCGAAGGGCACTCCTGTGGAGGATGCGCAAAAGGGCCTGCGCGCTCCTTGCATCCCATTTGGTATGGGAGTTTGCCCGTCGGGAGGGCGGGATTTCGCGATCGCCCCAGGTTGTGCCGGGCGTCCCTGGGCTGTGATGAGTGTACCCTCCCCCTGGCATCCATCCATCCATCCATCCATCCATCCATCTTGACCTGCTCTCGCCCTCGCAGGGTCTCTTCCTTCTCTGCGTGGCCTTCCGCCTCGCGCGCATCGCTCTTTCCCATCCCCGAGGGTTCGCGACTGCCTGCTGAGCACGCCCCTCAAAGGGGTGACGCATCGCACCGTCCCTGGCTGAGGGCCGGCCTGGTGTCGTCTCAATTCCTTTTTTTCCCCCCGACCAGCGTCACTCCGTGCTTCCCTCTCATTGTGCCTGAGGAGTCCCCCCCCCTCCTCGGAGGAGAAGGGCCCGGATGGGGGCAGACCGCGCTCCCCCGGCGCCCCCCCCCCACGGCTCAGAGGGGTCTTGGCATGCCACACACTTTTCAGCCACCATGCCGCCGGCGTGTGGATCGAGCCTCGGAGTCACCCGGTTTTCCCAAGCTCTCCTTCCCCCCTCCCTACCCGCCTCTTGCCTTTGCAAAAGCCCCCCCCCCCCCCCCCCCCCCCCCCCCCCCCCCCCCCCCCCCCCCCCCCCCCCTCCCCCCCCCCCCCCCCCCCCCCCCCCCCCCCCCCCCCCCCCCCCCCCCCCCCCCCCCCCCCCCCCCCCCCCCCCCCCCCCCCCCCCCCCCCCCCCCCCCCCCCCCCCCCCCCCCCCCCCCCCCCCCCCCCCCCCCCCCCCCCCCCCCCCCCCCCCCCCCCCCCCTTTCTTTTCAAAAACCCCCCCCCCCCCCCCCCCCCCGCCCGACCTGCCCCTGCTGTCCTGCTCCTCTCCTCGCCTTTTCGCTGTTCCGCCGCCACCGCTGCGCGTTTCCCGACGGACGCTGCCCGCCCCCTCGACCCCCATCCACTATGGTAGGTTCACCGCAGGTGCCTGTGTGGCCACCCATTGACGTCCCTCCGGCTATTAACCCATTTTCCGGCTTCCGCCCCGCTCCTCTTGCCTCTCGTGTTTTCCTTTTTTTGCTCGACGCCCACAGAGCTCGCCACACCTTAATCCCGACGGCACTGCCTCCAATGTCAAAGTCAGCGCCAACATCGCCAAACTTGCGGCCAAGATCAGCGTGCGTTCTTTCTCCTCGGTCTCTCCTTTTCCGCCGCGCGCGCGCGCGCTCTCTCTCTCATGCTTTGCGCGCCACTTCCTCCGGCTCCTCTGACCTCCCTTTTTCGTAGTTCCCCCTGGGTGTCCCTGGCGCCAAGCCGTATCCCAAGTCTCCGGACTCGGAGTTCCCTCCCTCACCGGAGGCCGAGCGTCTGCCGACCCCGACCACCTTGCGCACCGTGACCTTTGATGCTCCCCCCAAGGTATGTCCGTGACTGCCACCCCACGATCGACCATCCCCCCCCCGCCTCCCCCCCCCCCTCCACCTCGCAATCGCCCGCTCTGCTTTCCTCTCCGGGCTGACCCCTCGGTTTCCCCGGGTCTGGCCGCCCGTCTGCCTGGTCCTGACCTCCTTTGCCCAGACCTCCTCCCTGGACAATAGCGCCCTGCGGAGGAAGGCGGCCGTTCGACCGACCGGCCGTCGTGCCCAGTCCATGATGGTTCTCGCTCCAACGGACATCTCCCAGTTTGGGCCGTCCAATACGGAGGTCTTGCCGGTGGCCGCTCCCCGGCCGCTCAGCATGGCCGTCGTCCCGGAGCCCGCCGTGGCGGAGTCCCCCGCGGCGCCGGCTGCGGTGGTGACGCCCCCGCCAGAGCCGACTGTCATTGCCACTCCGGCTGCCGCCCCTGCCCCGGAGCCGGTGGCTGCCGCGGCCGCCCCGCCGAAGCCCGTGGTGGCCGATACCCCGAAGCAGCCGGCCGTCGAGCCTGCGCCCCCTGCCTCGGCCACTCCGGCGGCAACCTCGACCCCCGGCCTGGAGGAGGGCCAGGCCTCGATGTCGGACTGCCCGCCGCAGCCGGCCATGGAGGTCTTCCCGGCTCCGGTGGCTGCCCAGCCCGCCGACGGCAAGCCCGCCGACGGCAAGCCCACCGACGGCAAGCCCTCCGGCGCCCTGCTGGTGCCGGATACCTCGGCCCCGGCTGCCCCGCCGGCCGAGGAGGGCATTCTTGGCGCCATGGTTTCGGCCATCTCCTCGGTTGTCGGGTTCATCTGGACCAGCCTCTTTGGCGGTGACTCCCCCTGATCGGCGGGAGCCCCTGTCCAGCTCCCCACTGTGCCCCCCTGGCTTCGTTGGGCTTGCTCCTCCCTGCTGGTGGATTTCATCGAGTCCGCCTCCTCGATTGTCCCTCCCCCGACGCCGGCGCCGGACTCAGTTGCCCGGCTCCGGTGCCAGCCTTTCCTCCTTCGGTCGGCGCCCCATCCCGTCTCTTCCCTCCTCTCCCCCCGCCCCATTTCCCGTTTCCTCCGCCTGAGTTCAGGCTGGGCCGCGTTGCGCCGGCGCACCCCCCCCCCCCCCACCCCACCTTCAAGCTCCCACCCCCCTGGGGGGAGGGGGAGGGGGGCAGAGCGGGACACGGTGGGCTCGCCGCCCCTCGGAGGCCGCGACCAAAAGCCAACGACGACACACACGCTGTCAACAAAGTGAACATGCGAAAAAAAGAAAAGAAACCAAATAAACGACCACTCCTCCCCCGGTCGCGTGTGGCGTGTGTCGTCCCTTCCTCCTCGCCTCGCATCCATGGCAGGAGGCTTCTTGTGGGAGGAAGCCGACGAGAAAAGGGGGGGGGGGGGGGGGGGGCAAGTGAGCACGCCCAAGGGGGACGGCCAAGATCGATGGACATGGAGCAGAGCACGGGGGGGGAGAGCTCGAGAGGGAAAAGAAATAATGGAGCAATGACAATGCCGTGTGCACCCGACCCCTGGTTGTGCGTAATCCGTGAGAGAGAGCCCTCCCGCTGGCCGGGGCGGAAAATAGGCGACGCCCAAAGAGAGTGCCCCGCCGAACAAGGGGCCGAGGACCGGCACACAGCCACACACACGCACGGGCGCAGGAGGGAGCCCCCCCCCCCCCCCGGAGGCGGAGGGCCGGCCAAAAAGCGCGGACCACCCAAGGGAAAATAAACGCTGTCCGGACCCGGGATCGAACCGGGGACCTTCTGTGTGTAAGACAGATATGATAACCGACTACACCATCCGGACATCACACGCCAGGACCAGCAAATGGTGCCTATGAATCTCTGGCGCGAGGAGCGCCCGGGGCGGCCGCTGCCCACTGCCCGGGAGGGCATGTCTTCCCGAAAAAAGGCCTGGCCTTGTTGTTGACCCATTCTTGACCTTCGTCGGGTCGCGGCTGTGGCCCCCGCCCTCCGGTCCCCCAAGCAAAGGCATTTATCGTCAGGCGTGTGCGCCCCTCCTCCATGCTGGTCGAAGTGAGGTGTCGCGGGGCGTCTCTTCCGGCTCCTTCCTTCCCTCGCCCCGATTCGCTGCCCGTGCCTTGCTTGGCGATGGGCCGAGGGTGGGGGTGGGGGGGCGGCGGGCGGGGGGCGCCGCGGGGAGCCTCGGAG